AAACAGACTAAGGTGGTTTGGCCATGCCAATAGAATGATGAACAGTGATAATGAACCATCCGTAGTGAAAAAGATCACTTTCTCTTACTTTCCAGAAGAGAAACGTCCTGGTAACAACGGCATTAGGAAAAGGTGGGAGGATAAAGTGAAAGAGGATACTGAACACTGTCAGATTAAGAATTGGAGAAAATATTCTTTAAACAGAGATCACTGGAGAGAATTAATTAACAAAAATGTACAGAACAGACCTGTACATCAAAAGATTAAAGAAATCATCTACGAATATAAACAAAGAGCTGTAAATCGAAGAAATGATGGCTTGGCTGCATCTCACAGAGTGACAAAAATAAAAGTAACTGAAATTCTTGTTAAAAATACAAATAATCATTATGTCTGTCCTGGTTGTGGAATTCAATTTAAACCTCAAGGAATTACGAATCATGTAAAGGCATGTATTAATGCTCAAGTCTGGTGCAAAAACAATAAAATTAAATAAAGAAATTTAAAATGGAATGGAATGCAAGGAATTGGAAATGGCTTCAAATGATTGTAAGACATCTTCTGACCTTTGATAACATGGCCCATGAAGGAGTCTATTTAAAGCTGGTTTACCGGAGGGTGGTCTCCTGATCTCCACGTTTTCATCTTCAGTCGAGTTCATAACAATACGGTCGGCAATGAAGACAAAAACTATAACTTTACTAATAGCTATTTTTTGTGTATTTTGTGTATTTTTTTGTTTTCTTCTCACCCTACACCGGAAACGGTAGCGGGTTTAACTAACTAACTAACAGTACTTGTTGGTAAAACAAACTAGCATTAAACATAGATTGAAATAAAAACAATAAAGGCACAAGAAAACGCTTACTGGTAAATTCGCAGCAATAATCAGGAGACTAACATTACGTGTGAGTCTAAAATATTGATTTTTATCAACCCATTTTGTTAATGTAACTTCAACAATTGAATCATCAATTTCCCGACCAATTTTGAAAACAAAAATAAGTAATTAATAAGTAAAGTAATGAATACCATTCACAAGATTCATAGTATGTAAAGTATCATCATGTTCTATGAAATTAGCAAATGCATGATCTTTCAATTTCTTTAGACGTCCGACTGAATTTACCTTAAAATGTTCAAAAATTTCTTTTATTTTTTCTTTAGTTGTATTCGTCATAAAATTTCTAGTATAAAGTATTCGAACCTAGATTAAAAATAATACTCTCACAGTTGCCATAATATCTTCATCAGCTTACGCTTCAAATTCAGCCCAATCCACGGTAATTTAATGTTTACATAATTAAATTTTTCTTGGTAATAATTTTCTTCTTGTCATAGCAACTGATCGATGACTTTCATATTCAACAAAAAAAATCACGATTTTTACTTTTGTAATATGCCCTTGAATAAATCATGGCACCAACAGCATCTTCAGTTACTTTATACATGTCATCAAGAATTTTTTCACAGCACTTTTTGTTTTTGCTGTTCCACCAACCAATAATAGACAATCATCAATTGATTGAATATATATAGAGAGAAAGAGTACGTAGAATTATAAATTCAACTGATATTCATTAAACTTCTTATTTTTTGGTTCTTGCTCAAAATAAATTAGACTCAACAAATCAGTAACTAAAATTTTATGGAATAATAATAAATATTACTTAACTACAGCTGAAAAACTTTAAATAGAGTTTGACAAAAAATAACTATGATAAGCTGATATTAAGTAGCTATGATGAATATTGATCGAGTAGTACTGAAAATTTAAAAATAGTGCTTGAGATTTAGTGGCTATTAACTTGTAAAGAAGCTACAAATCAATAGAAAAGTAAATCAATGTAAGATTTACTAACTATACGTATACAGAGGCCATTTAATCATGTCTGTTCACTCAATTGATATCTGAGTTAAAAACAAAAATAGTATCTCTTTTGAGAGGGAGAGATGCAATCGATAACACTTACAGAGTGCAACGTATCTTCATAGAAACAATTTTGATTAGAGTTCATATCTTATAAAAAAAACAATGAGATTCAAAGATCATGAACAATTAGTATTGCTCAAGACTTATGCCGATTTGTCATGATTAGTAAGCGATCAACTTACCTGACTGGTTTGTCTCATGTTATTGTATATAACTTCAATATGTAAAACCTAAACAACCTTGTATTAATCAATATAATGCTTTTGAAAAGAGTTACTTTGAAATAATAAATATGCTCATGAATGACTATAAGACTGGTATCATTTTGCTCAT